TATTTAGTTTTTGTACCATTTTCTTGTCGAAACTTTCAACTCTTCAAGGATGTGCGACAGTCACGTTAGGCTGCTAATTCGAAGCTGACTGGAAATAATGGGATACATGTTTCTTAATTTAATTCCCTATGTCGTTCGCATGACTCATTTCCCTTGATCTCATTTTGCATCTGAATACTGATTAGTGTTTTGTTGTTGCCGAGGTTTTCAAGGTTTTCCAATCTTTCCTTTATGCTGTTAAAATCGAGGTTTCTTTATATCGTGCAGCCGTTACGGTCTGTTTTTCTGCGGTAGTCATCGTAGTGCCTGTAAACGTGCAAATTTGAAGTCCTGAGGTAGACTGCGGTCTGCTGGGGAACAAGTTTATGACTTACGGTGTACGGCTCTCATCTGACCAGGTACCTTTAGCCACTTGATTCATCATTAAATGAAAATCGAGAAAGTTTGCCGAATATTGGCATCATAATTATACTACAATGTGATTGACAGTGATGTTAAACTGTCTGTGCAATACCTTTAGTGTCAGTTAGTCGGAAGGCATGTCGAAGATATGTTGCGACTAATTACCTGCGGTAGGTGAAACTTTGATCTTGGAGGTTTTTTTTCGTTATCGCTGTTTTTTAGTTAATATATAAATATGGTCGTCTATTTGCAGCTAGTTTCGTCAGCTCACCCTACAGAGTTCCTGGCAAATCTGTGCCAATCTTTGGGTGTCTTTAAAATAACGAATTTGCTGCATTGCACTGGTTTCTTACGCCGTTGCTGATAACGATGACAGGGGATTCCGAAGAAATGAGTCGAAAGGTATTGGGGTTTATTTTTACATTTAGTTGTGTATAAGCTTATTTTTCCATGGTAGACCGAAGCGATAGTACCATCTTCACCAGACACCACGAAGCCGAACGAATCGTCTGCATCTGTCCTGATGGATACTTCTCAAGGATTGGACGATTTATACCTGCGATACAAAGTATTCATTTGATTCTACTCATAAGCGTAATTTAATTTTGTTTACCATCGTAAGTGTAAAGTGAAGCAAGGCTTCAGGAAATGGAACAAGAACTTAGGAAAATCAAATTTTACCTTGTAGGACTCGCGAAGCTAGACCAAAGGAGGAGGAACTGTTAGCCTAAAAGTGGACCCTTCTCTGCAGAAGACCGGTAATTGAAACTACGCAGAAGATTAAAGAATAATGTAGTAGATGTAGACAGCTGTTCAGTGAGGTGTGGAAGACTACTCATGTGAGTTTAAATTACGAGCCCCTAGCGATCCAAGTATATGCGTCCACATCAAGTCAGCTTAATAGAGAGATCGAAGACTTTTACGAAAAAATAGAAGTGCATAAACATGGAAAGAGCCACAACAAGTTTATCATAGGTGATTTCAACGTGAAAGTCTGACAGTAGCAAGGCATCGAATGCTCTTTGAGTCGATTTGGCTACGGCTAAAGGAACGACAGGAGTTACCTAATAGTGAAGAATGCTAAAAAATATGTTATCATGAGCATTCTTCTTAAAAAAATGTCAAGCAAAATATGGACATGAAAAACCCAAAACAATGTCAAAAATGAAGTTTATTTATTTCTTCCTCAGTAGCATGAAAGATATAGTGCAGAGCATCGTGGTGCTGAACCGGTTTGATGCTGAAAGCGATCATAGATCCGTCAGATGCAAAGTGCGCCTGGGCTTTGCTTTAGAAAGAAGGAAATTGCTGAGGACGAGATGGAAGATACTCGATGTGGAAGTACTACAGAAGAACCTCTCGCAATTCCAACTCAAATTATATAATCAGTTCGACGTCCTTCAGGGAATTTAAGAAGAAAAAAGAGGAGAAGCAGTGGATATCGGCGTAGTGTATCAGTATATTATGAAGGCAGTTACAGAAACGGCGGAAATCATCTCTCGCACAAAGATTATGAATCGAAAAATTACTAAGCAAAAGAAAGTACTCATAACGAAAAGAACTGAACAGATCTCAAATCAAGATCGAGTTTGAAACTTTGGAAAACTTTAAGAAAAGGAACCTCAAGAAATCTAAGCATTTTACTGCTGATTCGTAAAAGAAATTGTTGAAAGCGACGGAAGTATTAATAAAGTAAGAAATAAAAAATTGACGGTCGGTAAATGACAAAGTTTAGCTCTCAGAATGGAAGACGAGACTGCCTCGTGAAGAAGCAAGAGATTCTAAAGATAGTTGAAAATTTTTATTAAGCACTATATGAAGATGAAGAGAGTAGCAGCCTACGATGAGTTACAGGAAAATACAAGTGAAGCTGACGAAAATCCAGCTACCTTGCCAGAAGAATTGCGACAGGCAGTAAAACAGTCACAGCGAGCTGCGTGTTCTGGCGAAGACGACATTACGGTGGAAGCTGTGGAATCAGGAGGTGAAACCAGAAGGAACAGTAGCACGTTTGGTTTCATGCTGTCTGAAGGAACTGAAAATTCTAGACGGTTGGACTACTGCATCAGTGATTCTACTCCACAAAAAATGGAGAGAGAGAGAGAATTTGAAATATTACAGGCTGATCATTCTCTTACCAATCATCTACAAGATCTTCGCGAAGGTACTGACAAAGAAAATTCCTGAATAACTGGACCCTGCACAAGCCAAGGAGCAGGATTCAGAAACGAATTTAGCACGATGGGTCATCTGCAGGTGGCACAACAGGTAATTCAATCAAGCAGCGAATATTAGCTTCCTCTTTGCATGTGATTCATCGATTTCGAGAAGGCTTTCGACTTCGTTTACATCCGTTCTGTATGTGATTGCTTGGGGAACTAGGGAACCGAGAAATGATAGAGACCTCATCGCTGTGATTTACAAGAATGTGACTGTTAGTATGAAGCTTCACACTAGCACTCGCAAGTTCAGAATCTTAAAGGGCATCTGACAGGAAACTGGGTAATTTTCAGGGCTCTCCATTAAGAAAATCACGGGCTGAAAACAAATTGGCACTACTTAAGCCATCTGCGGTTTGATCCTCTGATTATGATTCTCTCAAGGTTACCAGAAGAACTCCAAAAGGAGCTGAGCGACGCCAGCATCAAGTTAGGGCTGGAAATGAACCTGAATCAGGAGGCCAGGTTTAATAAATACGTGACCCAACTACCTGTTGAATTCAACTGGCTTAGCCATAGAGAAGCGCAGAGCCACATCAATCTATGGCAGCTCATCTCTGCAAATGAAAAACTTCAGAAAAATAGAAGTGGCACGGAGCACCTTTAGATGAGTAGAAATGTTCCTATACGGGAAGCTGCCCTCATCTTTGAAACGGACAGTATTCGATTAGTGTGTGCTCACAGTGCAAACCTATGGGTGCGAACGTGTACTCTAACCCGGAAAGCTATTCATAAACGGTAGACTACGCCACGTAGCATGGAAAGAGGCATGATTTGAATATGGAGAATTGACGGGAAGACGAATGAATGAATAAAAGCATAAACAGGAGTTCGCTCAGTCATTGCACGAGTGAATAAGTTAAAATGGCAGTGGGTAGAGCACTTTGCAAGGAGATATGACTGTTGCTAGACCAGAGACATTACAGTGGCTACCAAGAGTGTAAACGGCCCCCCCGTAAGAGTACCTTCAGATCGATGGCAGGATGTGCTGAAGAAATTCACTGGATAATGATGGATGAATATGGCACAAAATCGAACCTATGGAGAATTCTTGTAGAGGCTTTCATCTAACAGTTGAACAGCAGAAGCTAATGATGATAACTATCGTAAATGTTGCTAATTTTCGTAAGTATGGGATTATTTTCCAGATTGTTATGACCATTGCACAATTAGAGAGGGGCATTCACGCGGTGGATAAATAGCTCAACTTACGCCTCTGTTACACATGTTTCTACACCTTTACTTCATTTACACTTCACGGGTGTTGGGTTCAAATGCCAGCACGGCATAAAATGTTTCCTTTTTACCTGCCATTTCTCCCGGAGCAAGGAATTCACACCACTCTCTGCCCAGCGAGAAGAAAAGCAGGTATCAAGTGATTCATTTTTATTTGCAGGTAGAGTTTTCAACGTAGAAAACCTTGCATTTAATTTATCAAACGTAGCTTTTAAAATAGCTGGATGGATTGAAGAATTTTTCCTCTGTCGATATTTCTGTACTAAGCCACGCCGTCGAAGATAGCAAGGATGCTATAATTTTTAACCGTAAATTTCTAGATTTCTTAATTTCTTTTGTGAAAGTGCGTGGTGTCACTTGACGGTTGGTTTAAGATGAGTTCAGACGTTTTAGCAATATAGAAATTTAGTAAAATACGCTGTCAGTGTTCAGTGCCAGATTTGTGCAGCTTACGAGTCCGTAAAGATGATGTACAGAAGTGGACCCAGACGATGGGAATGACTTGTACAATGAGCGTTAGTCAGTCAGTTTCGATGACTGCTTATATTTTTGGGTCAGAGAGTGTCTCCAGAACTCCCTATACTGGCCATCGTTTTAGCTTCGGCAGAAGATACCGTGAACCTGGAGCAGAGTCTGTCGAAACACTAGTTGTATCTAGTAGTTGGTTTGCTCGATTTCATATGTTTGCAAGCACGTCTGTAGTTTGTTGCGCTGCATCTGATCATAGGTTTTACGTTGGTCTACAAAACGCGTAAACCGGATGAGCGAACTCCCATTATTTCTCAACAATGAGGCGTAAGGCAGATATCTGCTCAGAGGTGCACTGGCCTGACCGAAGGCTACACTGCTGTTTTTCGATCTCGGAAGCAGCCGTTTCGCGGCACCGTCTTTCTAACACCGTTGCGTAGGCTTTTCGCCTAGGCTCAGTAAGATAATGCTCCGATAATAATTGATTTTCAGTTGCCTCAGAAAACAGATGGATTATGTTTTTGCTGAATGCGGTTGTTGTTAAACTCTGAGTAGTCACTTTTTCAGTGTAATCAATCCTGATCGTAGCCACCGTTTTAAATCGTTTATCAAGTGATAAGCACTAGAAGCTCTATCACTTAGCATCAATTATAGAAACTGCAGCGCGAACTGGATATGCTTGAAGTGCAGGAGTGCTACATAAAGGAAGAAATGATGAATCTTAGGAACGAACGACTCCATGCGCAGGAAGAGGTGAAGCGAATTCAGTCCGTGCCGTTGGTCATTGGTCAGTTTCTGGAAGCAGTTGATCAGAATTACGCCATCGTTGGATCAACGACGGGTCCTTGAAGTTTAAAATGGCTTGTTATTGTTTTACGTAATATTTTTTGTCTAGGATCTAATTACTACGTACGGATTTTGTCGACTCTGGATCGCGAACTCCTGAAGCCTGGCTCCAGCGTCGCCTTGCACAAATACAGCAATGCGCTGGTGGACATTCTGCCTCCTGAAGCTGATTCCAGCATCGCTATGTTGCGACCAGGTAAGATGCGTCATTGTTTGTTTGGCGAACAAGTTGTTGGGTTGAGGGACACGTTACGTTATCTGAAAACAAACTAGATATTAATTTGATGTTGAGTTTTAAGTTAAATACTTTATTGTTTTTGAAGAAGAAAGGAAAGCAAACCTTTAATCCATTGTAATGTCGATATCCTTAACACTTCTATTATGGGCGCTGTTTGGGACACCCTTGTTTTCATGGCCGGGTTGCTCTGTCGATATAGTATCAGACTCAGAATCGAGAGCTCCCGGTTTGTATCGCTCGTCTTTCTTTTGCCAGAGGTTCATAAGTAAGTACCACAATGTCGGAAGAAAGCAAGAGACTGCACACTATGCTTGCTGCATAGCTGTTGTCGAATCTGTCGTAAAAGTAAGGAACTCCTGGCCGATGACATGGAAACGGAGATCAGGGCCCCACCAGTAACTTCTTGAATAGAAGATCATCAGATATCGACTGTCTTCAAGTGTAAGGAAGACCAACATTCCAGCGGGTTAGAAATGTTATTTTTCTCACTTTTCCTTTTAATGGGGCGTACAGCGTAACGCTGATCTCTCTTTCTATGCCCTCTGCCAGCAGTGTACTGTGTTAAAGGCAGTGTCTACGGCTATTTAAAAAATGCAGGTTATAGTCTCCTGTTTTTTAAAATGAAGTGGTACTCGGTTTATCTATCTTTGTTGGAGAGTGGTTCACGAATCTGTATCAAGATGCCAAACGTTGAATGGAATTGCGTGGTAATATGTTGTGCGATTGCACATGATGCTGCGAAATTGGACCGAGTTTACTCTATTTTGAACAGGGATTTTTATCCCTTTGGTCCTGTGCTTATTACCCAGATGGTGATAATATGATAACTTTGGAAAATGAGGCTTATCATTCTAACCGCAGTGATTCTGAAGTAGAACTGCATAGCGTAGGTACAATTATATCTGAAAATGCAAGGACGACGAATGTGAAGGGCTTTATAGTTGTCAGTCAACCACTGAAAGAATGCAGCACCCCTGCCGCCGTCCAAAATAAAACTAGAATTATAAGAAACCCAACAGTATATGGCTTCATTGCCGCAGTATGTTCATCAGCGTGTGAGTCCTCCAAATCGGGTCTCGTAGCGTATGACACTAATCATTTAGTCCTTGAAGCCTAAGAGGCCATTTAATCAGGCCACGTTGTAAACGAATCAAAATATCATTAATGACAAACAAGACAGCCAGTAAAACGATGGGTTATAAATATACGTATATAGACTCTAGCAGCTTAAATACTATTAATTTATGGCTGGTTTAAACGGTTCCCTAAGAGAGCGGTGCCAGACGCCGTTTAACCTGAGTTAGAACAGTTATACTCTTATTCCAGCTCACCAAACTTTTTCTTCTTGTTATATATTGCTTTGTTGAACTTCTCTGGTTCAATATGCATATAACATTATAATTTTTGATTTGCAACCCGAATTAGTTTACACTAATAGCACAATAGAAAATGACTTTCAAGCCATTACCTCTGGTTGTATGGTCACACTTAAGGTTGCTCCTAGTTTCACAGTCCACACTTAAGTCATTTAAACAGATTAAAGTTCAACGGTCCATGGTATATGCGAATCTGTGGTACGTGGACGCACTTCATGGTCCCAGTGGTAATTCGAATCTGTAACCTGTATGTTCGTGGACGCAACGGAGTTAGTGGTTGTAGCAACGTACGTGCTCATTCCACTTGCTTAAATACATCAGTATTGTAATATAATCTTTATTTCTAAACCAGCCGGAGTTGGTTCAGAGTAGTGTTTTAGAGAATGAACTAATTTCATTCATTACATTAGTCAGAGTCAGTCATAGGACAAAATCGCACTGCCCTTGCTTCTAGAAGCCGAGGGAGCTGTTTTAGTAGGCCAACATTTCATTGTGTATGTCTGAACACCCTCGGCATGTGGATACACAATACGATCACTGTTCTTCTCGAGCAACGTACATGGTCGAGGAACCATCTGAAGGTTTGAAGTTCGAGCAATGCATTTGTTCGTGGCACAAACCAAAATGTCCATAGACATGTTTTCTGCCTGATTTCTTTTACTTTGCATTTTTTGACATTTTGTCTACCTTTTGTAAAGATAATTGTTAACATTTGTTACTTTTCTCTTCTGTCTAGTCCTGCAGTCATTTTTCAGAAGTCGTAAACTTAGATAAAGTTTCTTCGAAATTTGTGGCGGAACTTGAAGTCCGCTTTTGAGAGAGTAACAGGGAAAACATGTCCCTTAATTTTTCGCATTTTGATGGCTTGCCTCCGAGTAATGTTAGGAAATGCGTGATTAGGTTTTACTTCGTTGCGTACGCCAAGATGAAAGTTTTCTTATCGCATATAGATCTCAAATTCGCCTCTCCCAACTTGATAGGAGTTCAAATCCATAGTTTCGTGCCCTATACCCAAACTTGATAGGGAGCACATTTTGAAGGCCAGGGTTGGTTTCAGTATTAGACATAGCCCGCAATTTTTTAAGTCGTTGCTACTCGGTGCACGTATCCGGTTCATAAAGTGAAATAGAGGAAACATACGTGATACATTCTACCTAGATGAAGATGTTGAACAAATTCAGAGGAAGCGATATATGAGAGTCAGGAAACACTTTATTGCACGTTATTGCAACATTACAATAAATGGCAGATCGGCGCGAAAGCATTATGATGCCAGGGACTCAGCGATTGAGGAGAATTGTCCCCTGTCAAAAATTGATTATTTATTGGTTTCATGGTTTGTAAGAGAAGTTCATTTCTCACAATAATATGCAATGATGCGGGGAAGGGGTGAACTACAAATGTTACTAAAATGTAAAAACGTAGCTTTACCAATTTTTGATTCGTTTGCAAAGTTTCTTTTTAGATCAAAAACCGGATATCACTTACTCCGATATTGGTGGCCTTGACGCACAGAAGCAGGAAGTTCGGGAGGCAGTTGAGTTGCCTCTGACGCATTATGAACTTTATCAGCAGATCGGCATCGATCCTCCGCAAGGCGTGCTACTGTACGGGCCCCCTGGTTGCGGCAAAACCATGCTAGCGAAGGCGGTAGCCCATCATACGACAGGTGACAACTGACAAACTCAATGATCTGTCTCTGAAAAACATACTGATCTGTCAAAAACGTGTTGTAGCGTCCTTTATTCGCGTCGTTGGCAGCGAATTCGTGCAGAAATATTTGGGTGAAGGGCCGCGGATGGTGCGCGACGTGTTTCGCCTGGCCAAGGAAAATGCGCCTTCCATCATATTCATAGATGAAATCGATGCGATCGCCACGAAGCGCTTTGACGCACAGACCGGAGGTAGGCTCTTTATGACATGAAATACGAGGATGACAAAATTCGTATTCTGACACTCGAGTGTTGATTCTGCAGCATCGGTTTAAAACTTCCAGCACGTTGTAAGCTTCTTAGTTTATTGGGAGTCGAGGACTATATTTTGACTCTGGCTCTGATGCACGCAGTAGGCCTACATTCTCAGGGTACGAAGTAATGGCGTTAAAGCCAAATTACTTATGAATAAATGAATGGCGTATAGATGGAATGGAAATGTGTAACTAATTGTAGCATTTTGCACCTGAAATGAGGTTTTTAATGCTTGTCTTAGTATCTGTTCTGCATAAGTTATTTTCGATTAATCGTTTAGAGCGAAATGAGGAATAAGACGATGTTAACGTTGTCTATGACAAAGGTATACTTTCATGATTAGAAACACAATTTAGGATGTTCTCAGAACTGCTTTTCATGCACAGTTTATTCATTTTCAAACCCGCTGTGCTTTTTATTTGCGACAGCAGACGCTTCAAGATATCATTATTATTCGATCTAAATAGCACTAATTTTGTAGTACCTAGTACCTGTTATGATGTAGTGTCTGTATATGCTCATCCCCTGTTTTTTCCAACGTAATGTCTTGAAAGCCTCTTTTAGAGTTGTGAATAACTTCCGTGATGTTGCCTCATTATTAAACATTTCGATTTTGACTTGCTTGTGCTTTGATGAAGCTTTGAACTAGCAGTTGCGCTCTTGTAATTCGTGGCGATGAGATCTCTGTATCTTTTCTCGATTCCCTGGCTTCTCAAGAATTCAGTGAAGAACGAATATTTAACACTGAGTCACCGAAAGCTTTCTCAGAATCGACGAACTACAGGCAGAAAGGAACCTGATATTTGTTTTTTGTCTGAATTACTTGTATATCACCTAAAGATGATTCATGGTATTAAATTCACTTCTGGTCCTAGTTGCTCATTTGGCGGTCCAGCGTCCAGTTCTACTTGAAGCCTGTATGCCAGTAATTTCGATGATTGGGAACAAACTGATCAGCCTGTAGTTCCTCAAATCTTTTCTCTCCTGTTGGAGTAGAACCACTGATGCGGTGGTTAACTCGTCTAGAATTTTCAGTTCCTTCGGACAGCATGCGCCCTAATATTTTGGTCAGTCTTTCACCGTCTGATTCCACGAGTTTTGCTGTAACGCCGTCTCTACCAGGCGCCCTTCCTCTTGTCGGACGTTCCATTACGTGTCGCATTTCTTCTGGCAAGATATCTGAAATTTCGTTAACTTAATTTGTTTTTTGCCAGTTTTTGTAATTGTATAGTATTTTTTTGCATGCGTTAGAGATAAATTAACGAAAATTTCATTCTTGCTTTATAAATTTTCGTCTCTCAGACAGCTTGTATGACGTAAATGGCGTGAATTCGTAAATCGAGCGATGGATGTGCTAACGCAGTTTTTCACTAAAACAAGTTAAAATAAAAATATTTTGCTTATCGTTTGCATTTGCATGCATTTTAGCCGACAGAGAAGTGCAGAGAATCTTGCTTGAACTGTTGAACCAGATCGATGGCTTCGATCGCAACACGAACGTGAAGGTGAGACATCCGTTCTTATGTTTAGTTTCGTTTTTGTTTGTTGGCTATGGCAGCTATCGCGGTTATTTAAAAAATAGCGTCACTTTTTTGATGGCTGCTGTCTTCTACTGTCCGGAAATACAAACTGACACCCTTTGACGCCATCTGCAAACGGATGATGATTCTCCCTACTCCAGGTTTCCAGAAGGCTTCGAAGTTTACCTCTTTCAAGCTATTTGGCGGTCTTCTTTTCTTGACTGATAACTCGTAGCGTTCTGCCTTATTGGTTAGATTTCAGGACAGGCTATTGTTTTTTTTTGCAGTAGTGTTACGGCTATCAGTTGCCCTGCCATCGAGCTTATGGAGGGGACATTTAGAAATGACTGGATTTTCATGACAACAGTCATGCTACTTCGTCTTTCAACAATCATGAGAGACGTAACTGTACGACGTGAGGGCGTATGCATCACTTCTAGAGAATACGGGATCAGAGATATATCTTCGCTATCGTACATTATTTACAAGACCTGATTTTTACATGGCTATCACCAGTCAGCATAAGGCCACTTTTGTAATGACGGAATGACGCAGCTGATTTATAATTTAATGTTACGACAACCACCTGCAATCCAAAATCACAGTGAGCATCTGAAACTAACTAAGTTACTGACTGATTACACTGATTTCGATGCCTTTCTTTTTTAGTGGGTTAAGAACAGCACACTTCAGGAAGTTTTAGTGTTCGGCTGTTTTCTTCGAAGCAGAACCATTGGACGCCGTGTTTATGAAACTTCACAAAACTTAAACGTACTTTTTATGTGAAAAGCCATTCGTGACGATCCTGATTTTCCTTTCCGTCTTTCGCTATCACTAGCTGTTAGTAAATGAGACATTTGAAAAATCCTGTTAGGACGAAGATAATAATTTTTATCGTTGACATATACCTCCTGTTAATCTATCCATGATAATACTAC